TTGGCAACAGAAAAAGTTCCCATGTGGTGGTGTCAGAATGGGGTGACGCCCAGGGCATCCAGGAGAGCTGCCGGCTTGCATGTATTCCCCTTGAATCGCCAGCCTTTCGGACTAGCTCTAGAGTGTATGTTTTAATTACTTAATTAATTTTTTTTTGCATAGAAGAACTGAGGTGTGGGCCAGAGGTGCGGGAGGGGAGAGGGTTCACCAGAGACAGAGTTGGAGAAGCACAGATGGATCCACCGTAGCCCACTGCTGAGGGCTCGCAGCGAGGCAGGGGGGGTCTCACCAAATCCTGGCTGGGGGTCGAGCTCAGGCCATAGAGATGACAGTGCTGAGACTTAACCCTGGCCAGCTGGAGTGTTTCGACCCATTCTCAAGCATCCCTGACTGCCCCCTAGAGAGCCCAGTAATAATTGTGTTTTATTTTTATTTTTCCATTATTTGCGATAACTTTTTCCCCCAGCACATTGGCTGAGACTCTGGGGCATGTGTGGTCACGGACATCTTTGTCTTATTCCTGACTTTAATAGAAATGACTTTATTGTTTGGTGTGATAAAATATTAGAAAGTGCCACCAAGCCTCTGTGAAAATGCGAGTTTTGGAAAAACAGAAGTCACGGCAGGTGCCCAGCGGAGGGGCAGCTCTCCCGCCTGCTCTCCCACCCGTGAGCCAGGAGGCTGTTGTGGAAATGCTCCGACGCGCATTTCCTAGTTTTTCCTGTGCTTCTGTGTGTTTATTAAGCACTATGCAGTTTTGTCACTCACCTAAGTCTTTTGGCAACTTAAAATACAATTACAAAATAACAGATTATAGAGAAGGGCAAAATAGGCAAAAATAGAATTAAAATGACCTGTCATTGTGTCGCTCGCAGCACTGTTGCTAATGTTCCAGACTTTTTTCAGAACTAGCTCACCTGTTACAAAAAAGACTCTGGTTTACAGCTTCCAGATCTTTACCTTTATTTTTGTATAGAAGAACTGGGGTGTGGGTCAGAGGGGCAGGAGGTGAGAGGACCCACCAGAGACAGTGGGGAGCAGAACAGGTGGAGCTACTGAGATACACTGCTGAGGGGAGCAGCGGGGAGACAGGAGAGATCTGCTGCACCATGTGGGTCACTCCCTGGCCGGGGATCGAACTGAGACGTAGTGGTGATAACGCTGAGATGCAACCCCTAGGCCGCCAGGAAGGCCCTGAGTCAGGCATTCTTGACAGAACATTAAATATCCTTTTGCTTTACCCTGTGAGCTCTGGATTTTTCCACTATGTGGTGGGGCCTTGCTTGTGTCTGTCAGGTCCCTGTTGGTGGTTTAAGTTGGTTCTGGTGTCATGAATTATCATACAGTGGAAGGTTCAATGGAGACTGTGAATTTTTAAAAAAAGTTTTATTTATTTATACATACAGAGCTGGGGCACAGGCCAGAGGTGCAGGGGCGGTGAGAGGCTTCACCAGAGACAGAGTGGGGAACAGAACAGGCCGACTAATGAAGAGACTGGTGAGGGGAGCAGCGGGTGGTCAGGAGAGGTCTGCTGCGCCCTATGGGACAGCTCCCTGGCAAGGGATTGAACTTGTGCTGAAGTGGCTGCAGCTGGCTTCAAAATGCTGTGCTTTAACCCATTGCACCACCAGGGAGGGCCCAAGCTTGTGACATTTTTTAAAGTTGCTTTTTCAGACTGAAGCCTGAGTCCCTCTGGGGTGGTTCTGCTAATCTGGTTCAGGCTGTAAGTTCATTTCTTACACTCTTGCTGATCCTCTGCAAGAGTGTCTATATTTGGCGAATGTGATTAATTCCATATGAAACTGACTGTTTTTATATGCTCCTCTTAGTGATTTACTAGATATCTGTTGAATGCTTACTAGTGCTAGGCCTGTTGCAGGCAAAAAAAACAGACTCCATGAACTCATGGGAGCTCATTCCAATCAGGGGAGAGGCGATTATCAGTAGCCAAAACGGATGGGTCAGTAGTTATGATAGAAAACGACAAATGCTGCGAGGAAAAGCAAGTACAGCCAAGTAAAGGGGATCAGAATTTGGGGGCGTCCATGGACAGGGTGGCCTTGGTGGTCAGTGGGTGATCTGGTTTGCTTCCTGGGTGATGGACATTTGAGTAAACCTTTGAAAGAGGCGAGGGAATTCTTCACGCTGTTTGGGTCCGACCCAGGGCCAGAGGCACTGTCCACACCGGGCTGGAAGGTGGGAGTGTTTGAGGAGCAGTCGGCGTGGGGAGCTCGGGGGCAGGCGGGGGTGGGACCTGCAGGCCAGGGGGCTGGCGTGATGGTAAGGCAGTGGGCAGCAAACAGTGGCGTGAAGGATCAGTGGCCATTGCTAGTCAGGCAGGGCTCGCAGGGGAGGCCGTGGAGGCCGCAGCTGAAGTGGGGAGTCTTGCCGGGAAGCGCCGAGGCAGCGCCAGCTGTGTGGGGGAGAGAGCCCCGATCCCGAGCTTTGCACGTGGCTACGTTGCCACGTGGACATGGCCCTTGACTCGGAATTCACTTTTGTAAATGTTTTCCTCGATCTGTTGCTTTTTCCAATTTAGCAAAATTTATATTTACTGGAGTTAAACCTGTCCATTTTTCCCTTTATCATTCTGCCTTTTCAGAGTGTTATTAAAGAAGCTTTTCTCACTGAATGATTCAAACTAAATTTTCTTACACTGTTTTATTTCCTTTTTTAAATAAAAGATTGATTGCTTTGTGCATGAGCTGGGGCACAGGCCAGAGGTGCAGGGGGTGAGAGGACTCACCAGAGACAGAGGGGGGAGCAGAACAGGCAGGTCCACTGAAGTCCACCGCTGAGGGAGCAGTGGGGAGACAGGAGAGGTCTGCTGCGCCCTGGGGGTCAGCTCCCTGCCTGGGGAGTGAACTCCCGCTGCAGTGGCTGCTGATAGCTTCATAGTGCTGTGCTTTAACACTTTGTGCCACCAGGGAGGGCTACTGTTTTGTTTTGTTTTGTTTTTTCCACCTTTTAATTAAAATTTAACACTAAAGTCAAATATAAAGTTGAACTTAAAATGAAAACTATAAGAGGGAGGAGTCCAATATTGAGAACCCTTCAATGATAAGGAATATTAACAATTATTTGTCTGTAAGCACTCAAAGTGAATTATGCTTTTTCTCCTAATTCATCCACCTTCTTAACTTCTTTCCACTAATGGTTTCAAATGTTTTTTTTTAAAATATATTAACACATATTTGTAATAGAAAATTAACTGACTGTTTAGTATTTATGACCAGGGTTTCCCAAGTATTAAGAATGGTAACATTTTCCAAAATTATAATAAATTGATCATGAAAAGACTTTTGAGAGTATAGATAGGTCCACCCATTACATTTTTTCATTTTGTTCTGATGTCTTTCCACTGTTAATATGCCCAAGAAATTAATACAGTGTTTCTCACAGTACAGCATCTGTCCGTTCTCTGGAGTTCCTGTCAGTGCTACAGTTGTCTACACTTTGAGACAAAACCAAGCAGAAAATGGTTGCTTATATAGGCAGTGGGGTATTTTCCAATTCAGCATTTTGACTAAACAGAGTGTCACGTTCTGCAGCGGCCCTGGAGGGGCATTTGTTCTGGTGGCCCCTGGAGCTAAAACCGTGACACAAGATGGAAGACATACCCCGGAGGAGAGAAAGCTCCTCGCACTGTGTCGGTGGAGAGTCTGAGTCAGGGCCGGCTTGGGGGGGTGGGGGGAGCTTCAGGTCTGTGTGGAGAGCGGCCTTGTGTATTTCATACAATGCTGTGTTTTAAACAAGCATAATTCTGGTGAAATTAAAAGAAGAAACAGCCCAGATTGTGACTCCTAAATCACAGTAGCTTGTGAGAGCGGAAGGAAAGGCCCGGAAGAAAAAGCCACTGTAGAGAGCAGTGAGGGCAGGCGCTCGGCCTCGTGGGCCAGGCCCCGTGGTTGACGAGAGGCCCCGCCAGGCGTTTCTGAGCCACCTGTCGCGGAGGAGACGTGTGCCCCTGGGCCCTGCCTGCCGTGACCAGAAGGGGTAGCCGTTGACCCCCCGCCCCCTGGACAGGCCAGGAGAGCAGGAGGCAGAGCTGTGGTTTCCTCAAGTCCAGCACGGGAGCCTCATGCAGATTTGAGGTCCACAGTTTGTTTTACATAGCTAGGAAGCCAAGTGGCATCGCGTGGAGTGTGCTGTCCCGTGACCGGAGCTGGGGTTGTCCGCATTTTCCACGTGGGCTTAACGCTTTCACCCCAGGAGGGCACAGGGACCCCCAATCTTGGCAGAGGCAGAGGCCGCCCGGCCGCTGGGCTGCTCGTGGCCTCACGGTGCGCTGTGCTCTGTCTGCAGATCACGCCCGAGTACCTCCAGAGCGTCTGCGTCCGCCTCTTCAGCAACCAGATGCGGCAGAGCCTGGCACGCAGCGTGGACTTCACCAGGCCCGGCACGGTGAGGCCTCAGCCCTGCCTGCCCCCGCGTGGACACTCCTGCCACGCGGCGGGTGTGAAAGCCCCCTCGGGAGGCCGCGCGTCAGCGGGCTTTGAGGGTCGCTAAAGTCCCAGAAGGAAATGAAAGCTGTGTGTGAGATGGCGCAGCTGGAGATGGGGGGGGGGCGCCCCGCCAGGTGGGGCTGCCAGGGCGAGCTGGGACGCAGGCAGCAGGTCCGTAGGCTCCAAGGAAACGAGTCTCTCAGACGACTGCCCTGCCCTGTGGGACGTGGCCCGTCTAAGGCAGGAGAGCGCTTTAGGCTGGGCTAGGTTTCCTCTTAAATGCAACGGATTTGGGGACTGAGTCTCCTGCTGTCATCAGCTCCAAATAGCTGCCTTGGAGATACAAGTCCAAACACTTCCAGGGGGCCGCATGGGGCACGCTAAAGGCCGAGGCCCAGCGGCCGCCTTCTTGGGAGCAATTCAAACCTGGGGTGTGGAGGGGGCAGTTGGTAGCCAAGGCCTTCTTCAGGATGGCCTCGAGCAGTTGTTCAGGAAGACTTGCTGTGGTGTGTCTTCCTGCTGGGAAGATTGTCCTAGAAGTTTCCTATGGTGGGGACGATGGCTTTGGCTCCAAGTCCCACGTTTTCGGCCCTGGCTTTCGCCCTTAGATGGCTTATTAAGTCTCGGCAAGGGGCAGTGTCTCTGCGGTAGGCCCGTCACTGTCGCTTCCTACGACGCAGTCGTCGGTGACGCGCCTTTGGAGGGCCGTGGTGACCTGGGAGGGACAGGGCCACGGCAGAGCATTCCCCGCCGGCACAGAGGTTTCCTCTACTTACTTTGTTCTCGTGGAGTTCTTAAAGCTGCTCCCAAACATTTTATTTTACAGATAAAGGATCCAGTCTACATAGCTAACAGACTAGGGCTTTAAAAAACAAAAAATAACCGCACGGCCAGGCCAGGAACACTGATCCCTTGGTGCCGCATGAGACAGGTGCGGCCCGTAGAGACGCTGCCCTGGTTTTCTCAAGCTGTGGTTTCACAGTTGCTCTGACTCGTCCGGATAAGCAGCACATGTGCATTTGGCTGTTGTCTCTCAAGCCTATTTTACGTTTTCTACAACATTGCCTGTGGTGGCAAAAATAAAAATTCAGTAAACAGACAGTAGTCATGTCCATTCAGCAGGCCATGGGTTGGTCTATAGCCCAGTTTCAGGGGGGCGGGTGGGAGGGAGTGGCTCATTTCCCCATCAACACCCCCAGAGTGGTTGACTTAGATGAAGCAAGGCTGTTTTCATACCCAGAGAGAAACTGTGAATGAAGATGGAGCCAGGGTATCTGAACCACCGCCCCTCCTCCCCGGCTTCTGCTCCTCGTGAGGGCCCTGCCGAGGCAGCTCTGCGTGGGCAGCTCCTCTGGGAATCTGGCCGGGACACCCCCTCTCCCCCCGGTTTTTGTCTTTCAGAGACTATTTCTCGATATGGGGTTAGCAGCGAGCCGGGATCGTGGGGGTGCCCTGGGAAGTGTGCCATGGTTATCACCTAACGTCAGTGGGGCCAGTTTCTCCGTCATATAGGGCTGTGGCTGGAGGCCCCGGGCCACCCCACTGGGCACAGGCCTGCCGGCTCCGTGCTGAGTCGTGCTGAGCACCTCGTGCAGCGCGTCTGCCTGTAACAGGGTCTCTCTCCTTCTGTCCCCTCCTGCAGGCTTCGACCATGCTGAGAGCATCCTTGGCGCCCGTGTAAGTAATTTTGCTCTAGGAGTCACTTCTAAGGAGAATCCCGAGCAGCTCAGTCAGTGCTCGTCTTAGCGGGCCAGCTGGGAGGATGCCTTTGGGCAGCGAGAGCTCGGTGTGGCTACGGGGGGAAATAGTCATTTTTAAGTAATGTCGCTCAGCTAGAAGTATCTTAACATTAACTCGGTTTTGGCGAGGTTGCATCACGTGGAAAAGCCTGTCGACTGTCCTAGGCCCCTCTACGGAAATCATGGTAATCCGCCGGCCCAGAGCTCAGCGCAGCTCTGCGGGGCTCCATTTGATGTGCTCTTCTGGCTCACGGGACCAGGACCACAGGCAGCTTTCGCACACCTGAGCATTCCTGTCCAGATTTGGGGGTGTCGCCAGGAGGGCATCCGGGGCAAGGGCTCCCCATCAGGTGTGAGGTTGCAGAAGCGGGGAAGTGGAGGACCTTTGGTGCGGTGTAGAGGACTTGGGTGGGTTCTGGAGCCTCTGAGCCAGCCATGCGGGGGGAGGATCTGCTGTGAGAATTTTCAGGCACCTGAGCAGGTCGCCACACCCACCTCCCTCAGTTCCACCTGCACCTGCCCTTGGCCCTGCACGTCGTTCTCTCCCAAGGGCCACGCAGCCGTGTGCGCCTGCGCGCCAGAGCACAGCCTCCCCAGGTTAAAATCCCACTCTGACACCGGCTCTGGGGCCCCGCACATCCTTGATAGCCTCTCTGAGCCTCAGTTTCCTCACTTGTAAAGTGAGAATGGTAACAGTAGCTTGATGGCTAGATGACTGTGAGGACAAAGTGAGTTAACATGTAGAAGGCACTTAGTACAGTGCCTGGGACTTAAACTCTCGGGGTGTTTGCCAGTGTCCTTGCAGACAGGGAAGGAGGCCGTTGGAGATGCTGTGGCCGTCTCCTGGCGGCGGGAGAGTGGACGCACCACACTCGGGGTGCAGAGTGACTGCGATGGCGCTCTTGCCACTGTTGGAGGGTGTGCTAGCCAGTATGCCATCTCCCCCTCGCCAGTAGAAGCGCCCCGCTGCAGAACATTGTCGAATTTGGCCGTACGCTTGGAATTTCTTCTTCATCTGGATCCAGAGCCTGTTCACACTTTAAATTAATATTTTTATTTTGAAATAATCTGAGTTGCAAAAATAGTACAAAGAACTCCCCATATCCTTCACCCAGGACCCCCCAGTGTTAATATTTTATGCAAGGCCAGTCGAATCATTAAAATCAAAAAGCTAGTGCCAGTGCAGTTACCGGATCTCCAGACCCGCTCCCGCTCCCCCGACGGCTCTGCCCCAGCCGGCGCCAGGAGCACGCACGGCAGCTCTGTCTCCTCACCTGAGCTGCGCCCTCTGCCTCCGTCTTCCATGGCCTCAACACTTGTAAAGACGGTCGGCCCATTAGTAGTATAGGGTAGTTGCAAAAGCCATGACACATTTTTCCTATGCTTTTCAAAAAGTAAATAGTTCATGGCAACCCAATAATTGGAGGTTTAAACCTTTTCTGTATAAACTCACAACAGTGCCTGTGGGGAAGACAAACTCAAAGGAATTCACGTGCTCATGGAGAGGGTTTACCACGGACGTGGAAAATACATGAAAATACGAAATCTCATTTGTTACTGTCTTTTCTTGCCATTTCTTCCAGAGCCTCTGAAAGGAGCTCATCTTGTCTTTTAAAAACCAGTATTAAAAATAACATGACTTTTTACTACATAATAGGTGCTTGTTATAGAAAAGTTAATGCTGTAGAAACCTAAGGAGAAAATGTCAACTCCCTAGAGGTGTTATATCAGTTTCCATCCTGCCCTTAAAAATGAGCAAAACCTCCTGTCTTTCATCTTTTCATCCTACACTTCTTAAAATCCCGTTTAGCACTGTGCAGGGAGTGTTAACATTCCCTCCTCACTGGTGGCAGCTCCTCAAGCCCAGAATCAGCGCTGCCGTGGTGCTGTGAGCCAGGCCGCAGGCTCGTCCAGCTCCCACACTCGCCCATCTCCTCCCCTGCAAGCAGCCAACCAAGCAGCCTTTGATTTAGCGAGAGGAATCTGAGGTGGCGCCTTTGTTTCTGACTGACCAAAGGCAGGTGCTGGCCCTCCTCACTGGGTGGAGCTCTCAGCCGAGGCCTCTCTCCGCTGGCCCTGTCCCCCAAGGCCTGAGCTGGTGCGTCCCTGAGGAAGGTTTGCAGGCTGCACCCTGACCTTGGAGGGCTCGGCTGCCGCTCACACGCCCCAGTCGGGTCCCCAGGCTCGGAGGCGCCACGGCCTCACGCTTTTAGGTAGACGTGTCCCGTGGAACTCCGGAGGCCAGCCGTGCTGGGGCTTGGCTCCGCACTCTGGGTGGAACTTGCTCAGGAAGCCGCAGCGCCTCCAAGTGACTCGCCCTGTCACCTGGAGCCCTGGCCTAATGCGCATGCAGCGCTTCCAACCCTGGCTCAGTGAAGACCCTCCGCTGAGGAAAAACGCCACAGAGAGCCCTCACACACACAGCCCACGAGGCGGAGCTCTGTGCCGAAGCTGCGGCGGGGAGCCTGGAGCCCAGCCCCGACTCCGGGAGCCTCAAGTTGGTTCCAGGGCGCAGCGGGGCCCCTGCCAGTCACTGAGCCGGGGCGCTTCGGGAGGACGAGTCGCTCCTCAGGAGGCTGAGTGAGCGTGCCCTTCCGCCCTCTTTCTCTTTGAACTTGTGCTGCTGACAGGAAATTGAAGGATGTGCCGCTGTTGCCCTCCTTGGATTATGAGAAGCTGAAGAAGGATCTGCTCTTCGGGAGCGACCGCTTGAAAGCCTTCTTACTGCAAGCTCTGCGCTGGGTACGTGCCTTCGCAGCCGCGGGTCTTCCTGGCTGGCTGCCTCGCGGGCCCCTGCTCACTCATCCCCTCCCGACCTCTCCCCCGCTGCCTGCTGATACCGCGGGACGTTCAAGCAGCTTCTGCAGGCAGCCTGGCCTCCTTCAGGTCCCTGCTCGCCCTCACCCTTGCCATGGGCTTTGCTGGGTGCTTGGATAATCGGACACAGGCAGCGTCGAGGCCCAGACCATGCCCCAGACCTGGTCTTGCTGGCTCCTGGCCAGCAGGGTGCCTCTGGGGGGACACGCAGACCCTGTGTCCTGCCACACGGCGGACAGCAAGGGTGAAAACCCGGCAGCCCGGCTTTAAGGGAAATGACCCTCGGTTGTGGCTTTTCTGAGCCGCTCCGCAGCGCGAGGCAGTGGTCCTCGGGATCTTGGCCTCAGACTCCCTCATTCTCTCAACCTGGGGACCCCAAAGAGCTTCAGTTTCTGTGAATTTTGTGCGTGTGTGCCTATTTACAGTGTTAGCGATTAAAACTGAGAACACTTGAAGTATAAACTTTAAATGTATAAAATATATAAATTAACACATTACAAATAATTACACACATCGTAAGAATTCAAGTATCTGTTTATTAGCTCATTTGAGCGGACCAATCATTAACCCAGTACATAACAAATCACATTTTTATAAGAAAGAACTGTTTTCCAAAAAGAAAGAAAGAAAGAAAGAACTGTTTTCCAAACTCTCAAAAAACAGGAGTGCGCCATCGCTTTCCGCTTTCACACTTTCCTGCCGAGGCTGGTCTCCGGGACGAAGCTGGTCCTCGTGCCAGCTCCTGTGGCGGCCTCACACTTCACGTGGCCTCTGGATGGGTCGCAAAATAGACAAACCCTCTCTGTATCGTTGTGAAAATAAGAGTGACCCAGCAGATCCCCAGAAAAAATTCTGGGGTACCTCCAGGGCTCCCCCAGCAGCACTTGGAGAACTGCTGGCTTGAGCCAACCCTGGCTGGCTCTTCAACTGAAGCCCGTGACCCTGGCAGGAGCCCCAGAACTTCAGGGCATCCAGGCATTGAAATGCCCTTCAGCACTCTCCCATCTCTGGAGAACGGAATGCCCCTTGGTACTTCTGCAGGCCCCAGCGCTCCCTAGCGCTTTGAGGGAGTTTGAGGCACGCCCCAAGGCGGCATCCAGGATCATCAGAGTCCTGGGGTCCCTTAGTGAAGCGCCTTTCGGGCTGGGTGGGGCGGCCACCCTCCCGCACCCACTTTATCTCAGTGCAGGCGACCGAGCCTTTTGGAGAGACGCCGCGTTTCGTGCAGAATGCACAACATCGTCACAGAATAACCAGGGAGGACAAGTTTCCTGTGATTTTGTCTGTCCCGTCCCGCCCCTCCCCTCCCCCCTGCCCTGTACCGGGCCTGGCTGCTCAGCTGCCAGGTGCCACCCTCCTGCGCCACCCTCCTCCCCTGCCCCCTCCTCCTGGGCGGGGGCCCTCCTGTGGCAGCACCTCTGCAGGCTCCTTTCAGGGCCGGGTCTGCTGTGCTCACATCACCCCCCCCCCCGCTGCTCAGCAGGGCCAGTGGCCTCGGGCCTTTGTCTAGCCACATTTTCCCAGAGGAGCAAAGACGCACTCAGGTTCCCAGTACCTCAAGCTGCAGAGCCCACGCTTACAAGGCTCCACTCGACTTGCTTCCAGCCCCGCGGACATCAGCTGCATTCTTTTTTTTATATATATATAATACAGTAGTTTATTTTTACATCATTTTGTGCATTTTTCCATCTCAGTTGTAACCTCCGTGGGCTTCCATCACCAAATCACCCGTGTGCCGTCACCATAGTCCCGTGCACTCCCCCACCCCCATTTTTGATCCCATTTCCCACTCCACCCCCATAAAATGTCTCTGGTATGTGGCTGTTCATTATTATTATTATTTTCTCACCTGGTCCATTATACTCCTGCTGTGAGCGAAACCATCCAGTATTTTTCTTTTTCTTTCCATTAGCTGCATTCTTAACACGACAGGCCTATGGTTTTTCAAAGCCTACAGACTCCTTCCCAGCCACCCCTTACACACACACGTGGACACACAGTGCTGCTGTGCCCGGCCTTGTTGGATAAAGTCTCCTTTGCTGGCCTGGTACACGAGGCCCCTCTCCTCTCCACCCTGCAGCGGGCCTGAGCCCCACACCTGCACCTGCCTGCCCTGGGCCGCTCCCCCTCCCCCACGGCCCTCACAGCCCTCTGCTGCTCCTTCAGGGGCCCTGTCTGGAGCCCCAGGCATGGGGCGCCCCCCTCCTACGCCAGCATCCCATGCTGTCACCCAGAGAAGCACAGTGTGGGAATTTCTGGTCAGCTGACTCGTTGGCTGGTTTAACTAGTTCTGTTAAACGTGCGTTTGTGGAACCGCCGTTTCCAACAACCCTCTGCCTGGAGACTTCGGTGTGGTCACTCTTGTTTCCTGCATCCTAGCGCTTGACCACATCCCACCCCGGAGAGCAGCGGGAGACGGTGCTGCAGGCCTACATCAGCAACGACCTGTTGGACTGCCAGAGCCACAGCCAGGTGGGTCTCGCTGGGGGACGTGGTGGGGCCCAGCGGGGCCTTCATTGCCGAGGACTGCGCCCGGCCGGCCTGGCGGCCTCCATTTCTAAGTATATTTTCAGCGCAGTAACGGTACGTCAGCACTAGCCTCTGCATGCACTGCGGAGGTCTGCTCTTCACTCACCGCCACCTCCCGCCTCCGGCAGAGTGTCCTGGAACAGCTGGATCCCGCCCTCTCTGCCCTTCTTATTTTCTCAGATCCCTGCCCCTCCCCCTCCCCCCACACTCACCACAAGGCCTGGACACCAAGCGTCCTCATGAGGGGCAGAGTCGGTAGCAAGCCTGTTCACAGCCTCCTCGGGGCCTGACTTAAAATGTACCTGTAAGAACTTAGGAGAACTGAGGGCCACACAGGCCTGGCCGTCAGCGGGAGACGTGCGGGGCGTGGAGGGAGATGGCTGTGCACACCCCGCCTGGCTCAAGGCCGGGTGGCCTGGAGCAGGGCCTCCTGAGTTGTGGGGCGACTGCAGGTAGCTGGCCACAGTGGTAAACTGTGGTAAAATACACGGAACATAAACGTACCTCACTAGGAGTCGTGCTCTAGACCAAAGACTTGTATTGGATCAAGCTGCAGTGAAGGGAGTTTTTGTTTTTACCTGGCTGTTTGGACAGCTTGGGGGGACTGTCATGGCATTTTCCGCCATCATGCCTTTATCCATCTCATTCTTTTTTTTTTAAGATTTATTTGTACATACAGAACTGGGGTACAGGCCAGAGGCTCAGGGGCGGCGAGAGGCTTCACCAGAGACAGAGTGGGGAGCAGAACAGGCAGATCGACGAAGTACACTGCTGAGGGGAGCAGCGGGCGGGTCAGGAGAGGTCTGCCGCGCCATGTGGTCACCTCCGGGGCAGGCGGGGATCGAACTCATGCGGAAGTGGCCTTAGCTTCTTAGTGCTGTGCTGTAACCCGCTGCGCCACCAGGGAGGGCCTATCCATCTCATTCTTACAGATATTTATGCGAAGGCACGACTCCTTTTACCTAAGGAACTTTGTTTTCTTGTCCAGAATCACGTGGTTTTATTTACAGAATATGTCATTCACGCAGATGAGTGTAGAAAACAGGAACAGTTTAAAGATGGGATGTTCAAAAGAAATAGAGACCAGGAACTTGGAAGCGTCTAGGTTATGCCCCCTTTCCTTCCAGCAAGAGGTGGCCAGGGACCCTCTTGACTTACTTTGAAACTGTGGTAAAATACACAGAACATAAACTGTACCGTCTCCACCACCTTTGAGGGTTTGGCTTTCGCGGTGTCCATTTACCTACATCGTGGAACAGCCAGCGCCAGAACACTGGCAGGACAGGAACTCTGCACCCACCTCTGGGGGCGCCCCGGCGCCCCTTGCCCACTCTGCCGCCACCCTGCTTTCTGTCTCTGAGTCTGACTGCCCGGGCCTCGAGGCCGGGAATCAAACAGTGATTTGTCTTTTGGTGACGCGCCCTTTAGCACGACGGCCTCAAGGCTCATGCGCGCTGCAGTGCCTGCCGGGTGCACTGTCTCACCGGGCGTGTGGCCCCACCTCTGGTCACTGGTCCATGGACGCTGGGAGGCTTGTGCCTCCCGGCCGCTGTGGGTCACGCCGTGCTGGACGTGGCAGCCACGCCCCGGCCTTGCTCAGTGGTCTCCTCGCGTGTGCACGGGCCCGAGCTGCTAACGTGCTGGATTTTGTGCCCGCCGAGCCCAGGCGCAGACCCTGCTCTGTGAGGAAGGGACTCTGTTCCGTGACAGGGGACACAGGAGAGAGTGACGCGCCCCGCCAGGTTAGAGCCAGACAGCTGCCCTGCACGCTTGCTCATCCCAGGGAGCGAGGCAGTGAAGGTGGGGGAGAGCCCTGGGGAGCATATGGCCTGGGCCAGGGCCGGAAGGCCAGGTTGCAGATCGGTGGCCCAGGGGACCGCGAGCTGCCGTGTCTCTTTAGCTTTGAAACTCACGTGGCCTTGTTCTCAGGCCTCCATCGCCGGCGACACTTATATGGGGGAAACTGTCTACAGCCAGTCCATTGGCAGGACGGGAAGGGGGTGCCTGAACTTCACCAGTACAAGGTCAAGGCCGTCGCAGCGCAGACAAAAGCTGGGCTCACCTTTCCCATGCATGTTGAACTCTTTAAAAATATGTCGTGTGTGAGGGTAAGACCCCAGGGTTCCCGGTGGCTGTCTGCTAGGGACCTCTGACTTCAGAACCCCTAGTTCCTTCCCCTCCCGAGGGTCCTTTCCCTCTGAGAAGCATCCTCCAATCTGCCTCAAGGTGAGGGGCTGGTTGCCAGTGTGTTGAGCCCGTAAGGGCAGAGAACAGGGTGCTCTGTTAGTGTTCATTCTCCCCACTTGCTGTAACATCTGCTCACCTGGGTCTGGTGTACCTGCCCCTCTGTGACCTTTTGTGTTACCCACACAAGAGAACAGCCCAGAGGTGGTGAGGAGGGTAGCAGAGGCACCCGAGTGGGCCCAGCTGTGTCTTTAACCACGTGCACATATTTCTCTTTGCTCCCCCAACTCTTCAGCCTTTTGAAGCGTGACTGATGTGATGTGGCTAATTCCTCATCGCCAATGCTGCCTTGGGATTCGGCTTTCTTGAGTCGGCCACATCTGTTATCTGCATCCTCAACCACAAGATTGAGTTTTTTTTTTGTTTTTTTTTTTTTGGATCTATTTTAGGCATACAAGAACTGGGGTACGGGCCAGAGGTGTGAGGCGTGAGAGGATTCACCAGAGACAGAGGGGGCAGCAAGCAGGCAGATCTATAAATGACTGCTGGGGGGAACAGCTGAGAGATAGGAGGGGTCTGCCGCACCCTGTGGGCCGCTCCCTGGCCGGGGATCGAACTCGTGCTGCGGTGGCTGCAGACAGCTCCATAGTGCTGTGCTTTAACCTGCTGTGCCACCAGGGAGGGCCCTGTTCCCGCTTCTTGTTCTCTACCCTGGAGGGGACAGGCGGTTTGAACACCCCTCCCTGTCATTTCAGTGTGGCTGGGGAGGCAGCCGCACTTCAGGTGTGCGGGTTGGATGTTTTGTTCTAAGCTGGGGCGCAGCGGTAACAGCCATCAGCACCGCTGCTCCTGTGTGAGTCGCCTTCCGAGCGCCCGTGTCACCGGGTCCCTAGAAGCCTGAGTGACCCTTTTGGCCAGTCTCCTAAAACTCCCACTGGAAACCAAGCTGTCCACACAGTTCTGTTTCGCTTGTGATGAATTCACGCAGAGGGGATCACCAGGCCGTGAGGAGACGTTTATCTCTCTTGCCTGAGCCTCACTGGTCTCCCTCTTGCCGCCCACAGAAGAGCGTGCTCCAGCTGCTGCACTCCAAGAGCGAAGTGGTGCGGCAGTACATGGCCCGGCTGCTCAACGCCTTCGCGTCGCTGGCGGAAGGTAAGACGGCCGCTTCCTTCCAGGGCAGGGCTAGCTCTGCTGACGTGGTTTTCTTTCCCTCTGAAAATGAACATTCCTCTCCCCGCTTCTTAGAAGTGATGTGTGTGTCCAGCATTTATTAGTTTAATGCCTCTAGGTCCTTTGCGAAAATTATTGTCATATTGCTGTAGTCACGTCAGAGCGACTGTTGATGGCTTTGGAGTCTATTTTGTAAGGCTCTTGGTTTTGTAAGTTGGTACTTGTTAGATTGCTTTCAGGTATGTTACAGGTGATGCACTTGTTGAACTTTCTATTTCAGGTAAAATATGATCAGCCAAACAATTGAAGCTGATGCCAACAAGCACCGTTTCCTTAAATTAAGAGGATTTGGAACTGGCAAAGAGCATGCCGTCATAACTGAAACTGTTACAGGGCAACCCAAATTGACATTGTGAACTGGGTTGCCTGTCTGTGGGTCCTCACCCACGCGCTTAAGATTCAGTTATACTGCAGGCACACAAAAAGGTCAATAATGGGTTTATTTACAAAGGGGAAAGGAACAACCCAGGAAAGAGAGAAAAAGAGAGAGATATACAAGTTAACTGGAGCATCCTACCAGTTCTGTTGACCTGGAACCAGAATAGCACACTGAAAGCTCATCAAGAGCCAAAAGACCAGCCACCAGCCATGAGGCCAAGGGAGAGCGAGTGAGCCCAACGTGGCTCCTCTGTCTGTCCCTATAAGTCCCAAAATGGTTGCTTAGCTCCGCCCTTGGGTCTTCATAGTCCTCCCTTGCTGGGAGTTGTAGTTTCAGTGACTGGAGTAGGGGTGGTGTCCACAAAGCTTATATCTGCATAGTTCGTCCAGGACATCCTTTCTCCCTAACAAAACCAAGATGAATTTACAAAGTGCCATTCTAGTCCATATGTTCTCATTAGTTTGAGCTTTTTTTTTTCAAGTTGAGATATAGTTGACATTTGACATTAGTTTCAATTTCCAGGGTTACCCAGTTTGTATATATTGTGAAAGAGTCCCACTGAACTTTCGGTCACACGACTAGAGAGTGCTCATACTGAATGAAGAATATGCCATTCTGAAAGTTTGCCGATTCAGTCAGCTGCTCATTCTCCCATCCGTGTAGCCACATCTAAGTAACTGGTGTCTGTCATAAGCCAGGGCACATGCCCGGAGCCATTCACACAATACTGTGGAAATTTTTGTCTGAATCAGCTTTCTCTGTATCAGGACACAAGGCCACAACAGACAAGTGATGATTCGAGGCCTCTTACAGGACTTCCACGTTCTGGGTCCCGACTCCATCTCCTGGCTGTGGGCTCCTGTCGAAGAGCAAAGAAGGTGTCCAGAGAGCATTACTTGTCTGCCTCTACTGCAAACTCTGAGAGGCTTAGCCCATGGCTTCCCCTCCCTCTCTCCATGTAGATGTGACTTTGGGGTTCAAGATCACAGGTACCTAAAGGATACTATTCACCACAAGAACACAGCAAGGAGTTCTGTCCAGATGACAAGAAGAGTGGTCTTTGTTCATTAAGTAGATGATTGAATAAAACCAAATTTGCAGAAAAAGTAGTTCTTACGTTTTTTAAAACAAAATTACCCAGAGGCTGCATGTGTTCCATGCAAAGTCTTCACAGAAAGGGGCCTTGAAGCATGCCCTTCACACAGAGAAGTCTTTGACTTGCCCAACTCTGGTTTTCTCCAGGTCGCCTCTACCTCTCTCAGAACACTAAGGTGCTGCGGATGCTGGAGGAAAGGCTGAAGGAGGAAGACAAGGACACGACCACCCGGGAGAACCTCCTTGGGGCCTTGCAGAAGTTCAGCCTCAGGTGCGCCTGTGCAGTAGGCTGAGGTGGCACCTCAGCCACGGTGGGGCTTTGTTAGCCTCGATTTTAAGCTTTAGTCCCAACGACAGCGCAAGAGGCTGGCGTTATTCTTTCGTTGCACTTAGGAGAGAGGTTGGGTGACCTCCCCAGACAGAGCTAAAACGGAGTCTAATGCACTCAGCTGTCAAGGCTGGTGGTGATGAAAAGATGTTCTTAGAGTCTCCATGCTCCTACTCTTCTCTGCTCAGCTCCACCCTCCTTCTCGGTGGGGCAGGGAACCTGGAACTTCCCCTTTTCCTGGGGACCACCACGGACTCAGGCAGGCAGGAAGAGCTGACCCAAAAGGGACAGGCATGCTGAGAGGTCTGCATGGTTGCAGGCAAGTGGCCTTAGGACAGTGGCCGCTAGAGAGGGAAGTCCATGCAGACAAGTCCAGGCACGATACAGGTCTCAGGCAGGCAGGCAGGAGGCTGCTGCCCTGCAGAGGGAGCGAGCGGTTGGGAAGAAGCACCTGCACAGTCACAGGTGGGCAGCGGAACAGCTGCCGCAGTTTGGAAGTGTTTCAGAAATTCAATAACTGTAATTAAGAAACAGATAAGATACGGTGAAGAAACACTTCTTTCTGGGAATGTGGCTGTCGCTGCCAACTTTTTCTTTCCCCCCAAACGGTGATTTAAGCTGTGTGCTGTTCTGGGAACCTGCTTAGCGTGTTTGCTGTTCTCCAGGGACCCTGAGTTGAAAGTGGAAGCCACCAGGTTTACCAAGAAAGCAGGCTCCGTTGTGTTCTAGTGCATTCTAGCGTGGTCAGGTGGGTGTGGTGCCTCAGAGCAGCCGTGCCGGGGGTCCCCGTCGCCTGCTGATCAGGGGTGTGCACAGGGCTTCCTCCGTGAGGTCTGGGTGGTGATGCCATCTGCGCCACCCTCTCCCTCGGGCACCACGGTGCACACTGATGAGGCCCTGGGTTGCCGACATTTATTCCTGGGCTTCGGGTGGAAAATAATTCCATATCGATTGTGTTACTGAGGTCATTAGCTGCCCTTACTTTGTAGCGAGCTGAATCATGGTTTGGAGCTGATTGTTGGCTTTTTGTTTGTTTCCCTTGATTTCTATACAGTTCAGTGTACCTAAGCTGGATTATAGAGACTAGGATTTAGTAAAAATTTGCTTTTCCATGAACTCTTTCTTTGGCTGTTTCCGAGCCTAAGCAGGCTAAGAACTACCAAGCAAGATTTGTTAAATGTTTAAAGTAACACTTTATTTTATTTTAAGATTATTTGTTTAGGCAAACAAGAACTGGGGTCCAGAGGTGCCAGAGGTGCAGGGGTGAGAGTATTCACAGAGACGGAGCGGGGAGCAGAGCAAGCGGATCCACTGAAACACCCTGCTGAGGGGAGCAGCAGGGAGACAGGAGAAGCCTGCTGCGCCCTGGGGGTCCCTCCCTGGCCGGGGAGTGAACTCGTGCTGCAGCGGCCAGCGTCACAGTGCTGTACTTTAACTGCTGCGTCGTGAGGAAGGGCCCGAAAGTGGCATTTTAATATTTGCTGATTTTGAATATTGACTAGGAAACTTGCAAAGCAGGAAGCCAGAATTCTTATTCCTTGTCCTTTCGTAAACCTTCAGTAATATCCCTGCAAGGAAAGAATTTGTTGTCGCCGTTGATGGGGCTGGCAGGCACACCTCAGGCCCTGCGTTTCTGTGCAGCTTCCCTCTGCCCGGTGCTTTCCCATCACCCTGGACCCTGCGCCAGAAGTCTCCACCCAGCCCTAACTCCCTGCCGCTGTCCTTCCGTCGCAGGCGCCCGCTGCAGACGGCGATGATTCGAGACGGCCTGGTCTTCTGGCTGATCGACCTCCTGAAGGAGCCCGACTGCCTGTCCGACTACACGCTGGAGTACTCGGTGGCCTTGCTCATGAACCTTTGCCTCCGCAGTGCAGGTGTGTCCTCGGCTCTGAGCCCCGGGGCGGGGCGGGGGGGGCCTGCCCTGCTCTGGGTGTCCAGGGAGCCTGATGTGGCCTCCTTAGCGTCCTTCTTGGAAAACTGAAAACAGAAAGAGTGTCAGGCATTTCCGAGTAGGACGAAGGCTGCTGGGCCCCCGCCACCAGCGCGTCTGGCTCTGCCCTTTCTGGGCACGCGGTGCCCACCCCGGCGGGAATGCGCCAGTCTCCTTCCTCCTCACAGCCCCCTGCTCTCAGCCTCTGCGCCTCCCATCTCGCCTCCAGCTGGAGGTGGGGTTCTCACGGGGCTCCACCGGCGCCCTTGATCTTCAGCGGCGTGACTCTGGCGCCTGTGCGGCTCCTGTCGCACTGGCGTGACCTGTTACCTGGATGAGCGACGCTTCTTCAGAAGCGGCGCCTGCTGCAGCCCGCGGCTCCCCCGGCCTGAGCAGCCCTGGCATGGCCGGGAGAAGAGGCCCCTGGACACAGGGCTCCGGGTACCTCCCAGGCTACCGCACCCTCAGATGCTCGGTCACCGCCTCACGCTACCCCTTGACAGGGGCAGCTGTTACTTCAGCCTTCTCTGTTCGGAAGCAGCAGGTGCGGTGCATCTGTCAGACGCGGTGCTCTCTTCTTCTCTCCCGGTCTGTGGGCCTCCCCGGGGCGCCTGGCTTCTGTGGCAGCGCAGCAGCCACACGCCACAGCCCGGGCTCCGGAGGAGCTCTGGGCCTGCCCACCCCGCTCTCAGTGCCCGGCTACTCGGCTGACTTAATTCTGCATCTCCCTTACATCCAGGTGTTAGGAATCCCCATTTTATTTTATTTTATTTTAAAGGGTTATTTATTTGTGCCTACAGAGCTGGGGCCAGAGGTGTGGGGGTGAGAAGATTCAACAGAGACAGTGGGGAGCAGGACAGGCAGATTTGACTGAAGTCCACTGCGGAGGGGAGCAGCGGGCGGGGCAGGAGCGGTCTGCCGCGCCCTGTGGTCAGCTCCTGGTCGGGGATGGAACTCGAGCTGCACGGGCTGGGATAGCTTCATACCGCTGTGCTGTAACCCGGTGCGCCATAGGGGGGGCCCAGGAAACCCCATTTTAAAGAGGAAGAAACTGGCTCAGAATGTTTCGGTGATCCCCCAAGGTCACAGCTCCTAAGCAGAGGAACCCAGATTTCCATCCCTTTCCGCCTCTGCGCTAGGCGTGTCAGGCCTGGTTTTATTGTTTCTCTCCTGCAGGGAAGAACATGTGTGCCAAGGTGGCAGGCCTCGTGCTGAAGGTTCTTTCGGATCTGCTGGGCCACGAGAACCACGAGGTACTCAGCACCCCCGTCCTGGGTGGGGGACAGTCGTCGCGCGTCCCTCCTGCGAGCATTCGCTTCCACTCTCCCGGTGTGGACCCAGCGCCAGAAGCAGGAGTCGGCCCTCCTCTGCCCGCCGAGCAGTGATGCCCCTGCCATCAGCGGCCTGGGCCCCTGCTGCTTTCCCCCTCCTCAAGCCTCTCCCGCAGCGACGCCCTCCGTCTCTCACACATGGCTGTGGGCATCGTGCGGCCTTGGAACAAGCATCCAGGTGCACGTTTCATGTGTAGACACGGCACTGCCCCCAGGTCCCCTTCTTTTTCAGGCTTCTTTCAGTGTTTTCAGAACCTTTCTCTGTCCTTCTACATCATTAATTTTCACGACTGCAAAGCGTCGTGTGCCCGCCCCCCCCCCCTTTATTTACCCAGGCCTCCAGGGCGGTCCACTGTGGTGTCTCGACTCTCGGCTACTCCTGAGGTCCATGGCGCAATGGCGGCGCCCGCTCCCGGGGCCCGAGTGCAGCTTCCCTGGGCGCCGGCACGTGCTCGGCCGCCTCCACCCACATCAGCCTCGGGTCTGCCGAGCAGCCACAAGAACTTCTGCCCTCACTGAGTCCCCAACACTGGTGTGATTTTCTGAGTTTTCTGGCCCTTTTTAAACAGAGTAGCTGTCTGGGTGAACTAAGTAACCAAAACTCCTGGACAGGGCGCGTCTCACCATCCAGGCGTCTCCCGGTGCCTTTGCAGAAACCTCGGGGCTGCTTGGCACCTGCAGGCAGAACCTCGGCAGAAACCTGGCCTCTTTAGCGAGAGGTGTGGGGCGTCTTGGAGGACAGGACCGAGCGCCTGGGCCCAAAGGGGGGTGCTGGCTGCCCCGTGCTCCCGCTCCGAGTAGGACCGGAGCGAATTGCTTTGCCTCAGCCCTGCGCTCCTGCGGCCCGTCCGTCCCCGGGGCTGTGGGGCGAGCGGCCTTTGGTTTGTGCCTTCTGTAGTTTAGACCCAGCAGGCTCTTAGCTCCCCCCGAGACCCGAGCAAGCTCCTTCTCTGTTTTATTCAACTCAAGCGCAGGAAGCCAGCGGGAAATAACCCTCTTTCAGCTAACACTGAGGGCTGCGCTGGGCCGGGCCCACCGTGCTGGGCCTGAAGACTGGATAGACCAAGCTTTCAAAGCGGCCGTTAGGTGTGCCAGTGTGAGCGTGAGCGAGGCCTGCCTGAGGGTGTGCCTGCCAGGCGGCACCTGCAGCGCCGAGTGTCCTGTTGACAGGGTGGCTCGGAAGAGGGGGCCCCGGGTCCCCAGAGCACAAGCAGTATCTCGGGCTATGCGCACCTAATGTTTCTGTGCAGAAGCCGAAGCCCAATCAAAGCCAGAAGTTTAATATCCCTGATATATGAAGAAAGCTTTTAAATCGATGAGTAAAAGTCAAACCCCAAACCATGGCTAGAGGACCGTTTCCAGAATGGTAGATCTTGGCGGCCTTTAAATGTGGAAGATGCTCAGGCTTGCTGGTAGTCAGGGAAATGAAAATAAGCACAAATTATAAATTATAGGCTCACCCCTCCCTTTCTTTTAACTCATTTAACTCATTTTTTTTTCCCCCTACTCAGTAGATTGGCAAAAATTAAAGCCATAAAGTCCAGGGCTGGAAAGGGGAGATGAGCCCCTGGGGGGCAGGGGAAGGCTGCAGCACAGCCCATGCGGGGCGGGGGGCTGACATTAACCGACACCCACGTGTCCCCCGTGCTGGCTTGAGAGTGGGGTCACCTCTGGGAGTAAAGCGATGGTCTGCTCCTCGGAGAGCTCACAAGCGGGCAATCAGAAGTCTAAGTCTAAAATCCCTCAGTGTCCAGGCAATGTCCAGTGATGTCCAGGAGGCGGTGCGCGGAGCCTGCTGGCTGGTCAGGAGAGGCTCCCAGGGGTTCCTCTGAGCTGAGTGTTCAAGGGTGGACATGGCGTCCAGATAGACACACGGGGGTGGGCGGGGGAGCCCTCCCAGCGAAGGGACCTGCACACCTGCAGGAGCCAGGCCCCTTGTGTCCTTGTGGCGGGAGGATGGCCTCGGCCGGGACCAGGCTGTGAGCCATGCTGAGGTGTTGGGCTTTCCAGGTGCACCCCGTGGGAGCCTTCCCAGGTAGAGAGAGGGGTGGCTCAGCCCGTGGTGTGGAACTTTGGCCACAGTATGATGATTGAATAGGAAAGGCAAGGCAGGGTGCTGCACCAGGAGATTGCGACAGCCAAGGTCCTGGACAACGATTTCTGAACAGGGACAGTAGGAGGGTTCTAGAAGTCTCTGAGCCTCAGCTGGGAGAGAGAGAGAAGCGCTGGTGCCCCACAGGGCCTGGCCTGAAGGAGCACGGAGTTAAGCAGTGAAGCATAGCCGGGCCAGGCCTGGCAGGGGAGGGTAGGTTCGGTTTTGAACTCTTCGTTTTCACTGGGACGTGCAAATGAAGTGTCTGTCACCGGAAATGCACCCCGAACTCAGGAGAGTGGAGAAGAGGGTGGTCCCACGCTCCTTCCTCCTCAGCCGGCTTGCTGTCAGGAGTGGTGGTTGGTAACTAAGGTGCACAGTATTTGAGAACCTGCAAATGACTGTTTTCTCCCCCTTAAAGATACAGCCGTACGTGAACGGCGCTCTCTACAGCATCCTCTCGATTCCGTCCATCCGTGAGGAGGCAAGAGCAATGGTAAGAAGATGTGCCTGACGTGTTTTGAAGCTTTTCTCAGTGCCAAACACAGATTAGATGGGGCTCCGGGGTGGGGGGGGGGGCGCGCTGCAGATAGTTGATGGACCCCCTGGAATTGTCTGCCAAATTTCTGAAGAGAAGTTCATTTGCTTTTATCAGCTTCTAAAGGGATCTTTCACTCCCAAGTGATTACAAACCAGTGTCTGAAAGTACCCGGCAGGGAATTTTTGGGAAAATTTAGACTTTTTCTTTCATTTAATGACTCATTTTGATTTGGGACTTGGGGATGCTTAGGGATTTTCAAAGCTCGGCAGGAAAATGAAGCAACGGTGCAAATCCCCACTCAGGCGGCCCCTGCAGGGCCCACGGCGAAGATGGGCACGTGCAGACCACTTGAGCCACAGACATCTGGCCACCGCCAGATGGGTCAGAAACGTTGGGCAAGATGACAGAGCCGCCTGGCGTTTGGCTAGGTTGACAGACAGTGAATTCACATTAAATGTGGCTCATTAAGGCTTACGTTTAAAGTATAAAACAAGCCTCAGGTGATCGGCCGCTTCTGTTTCAGTGACGAAGGTTTGTAGATCTAATCGGCAAGTCCACAAGTATCCTCTTCCTCAACTGTGGCACCAGGTATGCGTGTGTGTCGTGCTGCGACACAAAGGTCACATATATTTGTGCAGCCAAAACACAAGCTGCATTCACTTTGAGACCCACAAAACATGTTCTTCCAGTTGCTATTGTTTATGTGGAAGAATTACTAAATCTTCTAATTGGCCTAATTGGTCATCTATGGTTACACCAGATAAAGCTGGCTTAAGAACCATTCCGTGTGGTCACAGTAAACAGTGGTGCTTAATTGTTACTGCTTTTAAATAAAAACCACTTTTTCAATACAGACCAGGAAAATAACTTGATTAAATAACACATGATGATCATTCAGGTGAGAGAGAGGGATTGTCAGCCAAGTCAGAGGAGAAAGAAGGGAACACATAAACGGACGAGCAAGCGTGGAGGCGATACCACGTCAGAGTGAAAGGCAGCCTGGAGGACAGGCATCCAGGGCAAAGGGGTGGAGGCGGCAGGAGGAAATGTCAGTGAAGGCGTGGGGCCTCGCCGCGCAGACACGGGAGCAGGACGTCCTTAACGCCCTCCAGGCCAGGAGAAAAGATGGAGGAAAGGAGCTAAGCCTCAGAGACTTGTGCTGCAGTCACGAGAGGCCCAACACACGTGTAACTGGAGTCGCAGAAGGGTGGAGAGAGATCAGGCACAGAAAGAAGGCTGAATCAATGATGGTAAAATTTATTGACAAAGAGAAACATTATAATGAAGCCTCTACGAAATCCCCAGTGTTTGGAAATTAGACCACATACCTGTAGTAGCTTCCTACTGATGCCTAACAAATGACCCCACAGCTTGGTGGTCGGAAAAATTTTGTTATCTCATAGTCTCTGGGACAGAATTTTGAGAGCCTGTTAACTGGATGGTCCTGCTGAGAGTGTGTCCCCAGGTGACAGTCAAGCTGCCAACAGCCCAACTGAGTCACAAGGACTGGGGACTCTGCTTCCAAGCACACTCACCCAGCTGCCTGTGGGTGAAGGGCCTTTCTGCCTTGACACACGGTCCTCTCCATCCAGCTGCTCCGGTCATGACCACAGGCTTCCCCTTCCCCAGCAATTCCAGAGGGACAGAAAGTGAGCAGTGGGAAGCCTCAGCGTCATTCATGACCTAATCTCAGATGTGAAGCATCACCCCATCACTGCCATTCTGTCAGTTACGTGGACCAAGTGTGGGAGGAGACGGCTTAGGACGTGAATTCCAGGAGGTGTGGGGCCTTTGGGGCCTTCCTGGAGGCAGGTTCCCACACACTCCTGTCAGCCAGGGGTCAAAAAAGAAATCACAAGGGAAATCGGGGGCTATTAATCTTTTGACATTTAAGTCTTTACTAAAATTTCCATTTGTTATTATGGTTTTTTAGGTCATATGGCAGCTTTAATACTTTCCAAATCTGCTAATACTCTTCTGGCCTAAGTTTCTAGGCAGCCTCCAACTGTTGATAAAGGCAGAAGTAGCACAAGCCTCCCTCTGACATTATAACAAGGATCAAAGATAAGCTAATGAAGGAGTTTTTGGATGAGCACCAAAGCAGTTGCCTGTTTATTTATAAAGCAGCTCTCGGGGAGCCTGTGGCCACAGTAGTTCTTCTTAAACCTTGGGATTTCCTTGTTTCGCTCTCCCCTTGAGAAGGTTTTTAAATCAACAAATGGGTAGCATTCTTCTTGCATATAAACAGTAATGAAGGAAACCAGGCACGAGGAAGACGTCCTTCACCCGGGCGAGCTGGGTTTGACCTTGTGGCACTAGTCGGACAGCACAGGAGTGTCGGAGACCAGCTCCAACCTTTGGGGTGTCTCGAGGCAGCACAGGCAGGACCCTAAGATGGGAAGGCGTCGGCGAGCCAAAAGGGAGAGAGGGGAGCGGACGCGAGGAAGACACGGGAGTCAGGATCGGGTGCAAGTCTTCCTGCTTTTCCTTCAGCAGGTCTTTATACGGTGTAGCAAGTAGTTAATTGTAATAATGCATAGGGTAAGTTAATGAGACATCTCGATAAAACATTCTCAAGGACAAGGGAAAAGGCATTCTTCTGTTTACAATTTATGGTATGCTAAATTATACGTTTTTGTGACAGTTATATATACAGCTGTCTAGTTATCATCAAAGGAGGAGGGGTCTGGGAAAGGGGGAGCTTGTTAGCAAAAGGTTGCCAGGGGTCTTGGGATAGTAATAAATTGTGTTAGCAGTGTCATCAGTGATTGTCTAAGGAAAAGCTAATGGGTAATTTGAGGCTAACAGAGAGTAGTTTGTGCTTGCCCCAAAAGGGAGTAAATTAAGAGAAAGTTGCACAGTTGTATACCAAACAACACCTGTGTAGTCAAGGTTAAAATTTGTCCACGAGTCCTTATGCCCTGGGAGCCTTATCTGAAGTTTATTTTTTATTCAAAGAAACCAAGGAAGCTTCCAGGAGTTTTTTATGCCCTGGGGTCTTATTTCTCCTGGGGCTTGGCCCTTGTCTCAGGAGACAGAGGAATTTCTCACCCTGGAGCAGCTTGCCTGAACCAGCAGCTGCCTTTTGCAGCTAAGTCAATCCAGTTGTAAACTGAATGCTGCTCAGGATATTTTGATATTATGTTTATTCAAAAAAAACGGAGGTCATAACATAAGTTAGCAGTGGACAGTCTGATTTTTCAGAGCTTATCCCGATCCACCCGGAATCTGTCAGACGATGGACGTTGCATAGCCTGAGTCACAGGAGAAAGCCACCGAAGCCCCCTCACGCCAGATTCTTCCTTTTCCTCCGGTGGTTGTTGCGGAGCAGAGCTCTGTTGTGAAGTTACTCGTTTCAACATTTTTATAATAGCAAAAGAACAGAACACAAATGTCTGTAGGAGGAATTGCTAATGAAATTAGGGTTCTTTTGCCCCAAATATTAATAGCTATTGAAGATGATAATTAGGAAAAGCAATATGGAAATTTTTTTTATTGTATAATGAGGGATAAAAGCGGACTATGACATAAGAACCCTTTTTTGCAACCGTGGAGAACAGTTGCATGTTTATGGAAAATGACAAAGAAGACAAAATTATATTAGTATCAAATGCTTTCATGGTGGCCTTCAAATAATACCAAAAAATTAAGAGAAATGAGGGCCCTGTGGCCAGCCAAGGTCTGGTCTGGAGAGCAGACCCCAAGGCTGCCCTCTGCCCACGAGCCTCCCACGTCCAGGGCTGGGCGGATATTGCCCATGGAGCTCCTCCCCTACCTAAAGCCCAGGACCCACACGCCGATCAGACCAGGTGTGCTGTCAGTATGGAAGCTCCTGAGCCCCCAGGAGAGCCAGGAGCTGGGCTCAGCCGCCACACGGCATGGAGGGCCACACCAGTGCTGCCGGACATCCTGTCTTGCTGTCCCCAAGGGTCAGAGGCCACTGCCACCCACCTGCCCAAACGACTTGTGTCCTTACGCTGACTCCCCACAGAGCCCGCTTCTGGGTCTGTCTTGGGGGCGTTGGCAGGACCTGGGCCACCTGCCTGCACCCTAGCTGCAGGGGAGGCTGGGAAAGCTAATGCTCTGGCTGCTGCTTAGAAAAGAGGCACAAGGGACAGTTAAAACATGTCAAAAAGTGTTGGCCAGCCACAGTCCAGCAAGGGCCCTACCCCTGGTGAGCCTGTTCGCTGGTTCTATAACGTTCATTGTGGGGGCACCTTCAAGAGTAGCATGGAAACCTTACCAAGAGGATTTTAAGTTGATGGAGCTTTTTTTTTTTTTGACACATTTAGCAATGTGTATAATAATCCTCAAAAATATTCATAATTTTGGCCCAGTGATTCTGCTGCTAACGCGCCATACAAAATATGAACAGCAGTTTGTGCACCAGAATGTTACATCATTACTGAGCGCAGTAGAACACAGGAAACCACCTAGACATGCCGAATTAGGGGCAATGAAGGACGAAGCAGGATGGGGAAGGGAGAAATGGAGAAGGCAGAACTCTGAGCCCGAGGCCACGTTCACCTGTCCCGCTGGGTCTTCCTGGTCCTGTGTCACAGGGCTACTCGCTGCCTTAAGCCCTCAGCGTCCATAGAGTTCATCTGTGAGATGAGGAGGATCATAACACCAAACTCATAAAGTTACTGTGAAAATAAAATAGCTAATACATACAAAATATTTAGAATTGTGCCTGGACATAGTCAGCATTGAAAAATGTTAGCTATTAATAGTTATTAGTATATTATTTGTAAAGTTTTTATTGACACATGAAAATGAGCGCGTTAAGTCAAAAACCAGTGAGAAACATTACATTGGCAGTATGATCTCAGCTATGTAAAGCGATAATGCACTATCTAGAATGTTCCCAATGAACACTAAGAATAAGGGCTTGAAACTTTTATTCTTTTTTTTTTTTTTTTTGGTATAGTTTCATGTTTTCTACAGTAAACCTGTGCAACTTTCATAGCTAACCAAGTATTTACCTAAAATAGATACTTCCATTTCAGGGGGAAATTTCCTCGAGGACCTTTCCCATCCTGATAGAAGTCTAGACTGTTCCGGCTGGTAGAGAGTTGAACTGCTGGGGGGAGCAGTAAGCTATGAATTAGGGATGGTTGGGGACGTGTGGTAGGTTCTGGAAGGCGTTTTATCTCCTTAACCTTCCCCAAGCCTCCTTCCTCGGCTCCCCTCCGCCAAGGGGTGATGTGGCTGTGTCCATTTCGCTGCTGATGAAATGCGGCCTAGCCCTTAGCTCCCTGGTGGCGTCGACAGCTGTCCTGACTGTCCAGCCCAGCAGCCGCTCCAGAAAGCCCCCTGTCTGCAGCAGACTCAGGGCGGGGGGCCCCGGGCTTGTGCCTCCTGGGAAGTCTGAACGCCATGGTAGGATTTCTCTCCTTCACCGCAACAATGCTTACATTCTTCTGTGACGATCTTCATGATGGCGCTTCAGCACGGCGCGCTGGCAGGAGCATGGCTTCCTTGGGTGCTCTGGCTGGCTCTCCACCTCCCCGTCCACACACAGGGCTGGCTGCTGACAGCCAGCCGACAGCCTCTGCGTCAAGCTTGGCGCTTTCATTTGCCCTGGCTTATCTGAAGTGACAGGTTATTGCCTTCGTGATAAAATATTATTAGAATGACTCGTTATTCCTAAGATTTACACTTTAGATGGAACGTTTTCTCACATGGATGGTTTTTTAAAAAATACGTGAACTGTCTCACTGGGGAATTTGCTGCTGAGAAATCTTCCCCCAAGCATTCCTCCTAACCACAGAGAAGAAAGTCATTTACCCCACCCCCACCCCCATGTATCTAGTAATCGGGCTAGGGCTGCATCCCAGAGAGCAAATGAGAATGAGGAGATTGTTCTTTATCTGAGCAAGTTAATCATTTGCCAAAGTAGCATCTGAGGATAAAATGCCAGAGGAGAGTCTGACTAAATTATTTGTCTCACTCCACTGGTGACAGTGTTAATACAGCCACGATCCTGACAGCTGGCAGTTTGTGTTTAGCAGACGACTTTCATTTGCTGGTGACAGTGTTCTGTCACCAGCAGCTGGTGACAGTGTTCATCTGGCTGGGGCTGGAGCACACGGAAGGACTTCAGCTCATGAGCTAGAGAGACATGGAATTCAGCTTCCCTGAGACTGAAGGGCCTGTTTCTTCGGTCAGACAAACCCAGATGTCTGGCCACACGGGAGCCCCTGCCCCACAGGCCACAACCTCTAGAGAGGCTCCTGACTGGACACACGGGCCTTCCAGAGTCCTTCCCTTACGGGCCACCCTTTCTCTCCACTCTGAGGGCTGACCTATCTCTGCGTGCCAATGAAACATATTTTTCTCTAAGTTTCGTCATGTCTGCAGTCACTGCTTATTTCCTTGGCTTTGGTTCCCAGAGCTGTTTTCTGAGCCACCAGCCCCTACCAGACACGGCAAGGACAGTGTTGTCCATTATCGAGCCTCTAGCCAGCACCAGCCATTGATTAGATGCTGGTTTTTCAGGTAGAACTAATGGACGGTAAAATACTCAGGCCTTACAATTCAGTGCATTTGACATATGCATACATCTACATAGCCAATACCCAAGGACAGACTTTATCTTTTAAATAGCTCATGTTGTTGCCCTCATTTGATAGTGGAGGAAACGGGCTGGCTGGGAGGAATTACTCGGCCCTGGTCACAGTTAACGCATGGGGAGTGAGAACTCACCATGTTCAAAACTGCATGTGGCGCATCTGCTCTGATTCAGTGAGAGCTTTGATTCCAACTGAAAAGGCCAGGGGTGGGCTTCAGGCACAGCTTGATCAGGATTCGCCAGCACCTTTGCACTCTGCTTTCTCTGCTTTGGGCTCATTACTTGATGCTTGGAAGTGTGGTAGCAAGAAGCCACAGTTCAAATTCCACAAGAGGAAGGAGGACAGAGACCCTTGTGCTTAAGTTTGTCTCTTCCACATTTCCCTGGAATTGTGTTAGTCAGTGCCGATCATTCTGATGTCAGGTTTTTGGAATTAGGAGTTAATGCATACTCTAGTGGTGTTAGAGTTCTTTTGCTAGAAAACATTGCTAGTTAAAAAGAGGGCCTGTTGTTCACTTACTTCTCTAAACATA